ATTAAGCAGGTGGTTGCTGCCCATTTCCCTGGCTGAGAGAAACATCACAAGCCATTATAATTTTGCACAAGCCACCAAAGCTCCAAATGATGTTTCCTGCTAAACACTTAGGAGTAAGTTTTTATTACTGTCAATCATTCAAATGAGGACATAGCTTAGGTGGCTTTTCAGGAAGGCAGCATGGCTTAATCATTAGAGCAGGGGACTAGACTTTAGTAGATTTGATCTAGATCCAACACTAAAACTCCAACACTAGAATTCAGACGACTTGATCGGGCTCTCTGTGACCACAAGGAATGTGTTAAAACTCTTGGCAAGGGATTAAAACTCTTGGAGTCTGCAAAACAAAGCAAATCCTAATTGCCTAACAGCAGGGTGGGGTGATTTCACTATTTTCCAGGGATGCAGCATGAGTTAGGGGGGAAGCTGGGGACATGACAGAGACATAGGGGACTAGAGAAAGAGGGGTCTGCCCCAGACTCTGAAGAAGCCCTCTTGCATTTAACCATCACCACTCCCAGCTTCTTTGGGAGCTGCAGACTTAAGAAATAGAATATCCATTTACTGTATGGGATATTTTAACTGTAGGATGAGGAACAAAGGCTGATAGGAAAAAGGGTCCAAATACCCAAGAGGGACCCAGAAGACCCAGCCACACCCTGCTTGTTTGTCAAGTAGAAGGGGTTTCTATCTGCATATTGAGGAGCTCCTTCTGTTTCCTATGCTTTGTGCCTGGAATCCATCAAGTCCAAGAAGCTAGACTGGAAAGCCATTCCTCTCTGCTTGGTTATTCTCCATATACATTTAATCCTGATCTGTTAGCTGACTGTGTTTGTTCTCGTTTTCATGTTCCCTGCAATAAATGTAACTGGACACAGAAACCTGCGGGGTGGCAGGGTATTTTGAACTTGGTGAGTACCAGTGGCTTGCCCTGGAAAGACATAGCTGTGGCAGCAAGAACATCTTCCTGTGCCGAGGCGAACCACACAACAGAACAATCCAGCTTGGTGGTGGCTCTCACCAGAATCCTGCCCAGGGTTTTGCAGGATAACAAGCAGCATTACCAGCATGCTGAAGTGCCCTACAGCAGGGGTTTTCAACCTTTTTCGATCATTGTACCCCCAGGCAGCCGGATGTGGAGCAGTGTACCCCTGGCCACCGGAGGGCGGGGGGAAGGTGGCAAGTGCCGGGATGCCAAGTGGGGGTGGTGAGCAGTGGCAGCGAGGTGTTTGTGCAGCCCTGCTCTCGCCCCACCCCAGCCCTGTTCCTGCGAGGCAGCAGCGTGGGATGGCGGCACTCCATTCCCACCCACCCCTGTGTACCCCCTGGGACATTTCAAAGAACCCCTGGGGGTATGAGTACCCCCGGTTGACAACCCCTGCCCTACATCACAGTGAGTCCTGAGGAATGGATCTCACGAAAGGGTCCTGACCTCCTTGATAAACACTGTGTTACATTGGTAGTGGGAAGACAATGGTTACTCAGACTAGACCTCTGATGGGAATTAAACATTTTTATTTGCCTTGTTGCTTCAAGCATGCAAGAAACCATGCTTGTCACCAGCCAAGCCAGTAACTGGCCACGGAGCTAGGTAAAACTGCAGTGTGCAGTGACTGGGTCTGCATTATCCATTCACTTTGTCTCACAGAAGCACTAAGGGACACCGGGGATGTGTACACTGGCTTTTGAAACTGCCACCAAAAATAATCTCTGCCTACTCGTTAGAAACCCAGAACCAAGACAGAACCCAGCAAGGATGCTCTGAGGGCAACCCTTTCACCTCTCCTATAGGCCAGGTACAGAAATCTTGCGAGCAGCAGTGGTGAGGTCCTCCCAGATCGTCTTCCCCACCTCAGGTCTGGGCATGGGAGTGTGGAGCAGAATGAGGCTTATCTTCTGGTGGCAGTTTCAGCAGTGGTGTCAAGCCAGTGTAGACATACCAAAGGTCTCCATTGCTTCATACAGACTTTATTAGTAGCTTTTATATGGCAGAAACACTGAGCAGCCCCAACATTACACATAATAACCCAAATGTCCTGCCCCAAAGAGCTTACAATCACAACAGACAAAGGATGTGAGAGGAAACAGAGGCAGGAAATAAGTCTCTGCTCGCTCACTTAGATTCAGAGCCAGGAACAGTTTCCTGAGTCCCAGCCAGGGGCTTTATCCTCTGGAACATACTGCCTTTCTATTCAACTCAGTATCTGCTTAGCTGAAGCAGCTCTGTGTGATTTATGTGCAGGATGTGCATGACCCACTGTCCTGCACTAGCCCTGTGATGCATTGGCTCAGTACCCAAGAGAGAAGTCAAACACTGTGAGAAGTACAAGTACACCAGCATGTTCCTGCAAGGAAGGAGGGACAGGAACTGTGGGAGGGGGAGGAATTAATGTCTCCAAACAGAGGAGAGGAGAGAGACAAGGGGCAACACTGGCTGGCACCTCATAGAGAGATGATACATCCATGTCACCCATGCACAGAGGGCTAAACTGCAGCAATTGTGGCAGGGTCGGTAAGTGTGGTGTAATGGGGCCATCTACTGGAGACAGGCTCTGAGAACCTGCCCAGTCATAAAGAAGAACAGCAGGTTACATCTCTCCAATCTAAGCCCTCAGTGGAGGGTGTTGGGTTACCTGAGTATGGTGGCAATGACATGGAAAACCACTAGGACAGAGTTCTTGGAGCTGGGCGCCAAGACAGGATAGTTATATGCCAGTCCTTGATACACTGCGTGTGGGGGAGAGTCTGAGACCTCACATTACAGCTCCAAGTGGGGGAATGCACTGCAGTAGCACTGAAGAACAGTGGGAACAAGGGGCTCCCTGGTCGGTCACATTCCCTGGCATGTCAGTGCCACTCCTGCATGAGGATGCTTCTTCTCCACCAGGCACAGGCAGGGCACTGCTGTGAGGAAGCTGTTCACAGGTGGTTCAAGTGACACAAAGGGGTTCTGGCCAATCCCTTTTATTCAGTAGCTTATTGCTGTGTGCACATTAGAAAGGGCAGGGATGAGCATGCAGTGCATTACCACCTTGAAGGGAGGACATTAGCCCTATTATTTAAACATAGGAACAAACATAAGAATCACCAGATGAGACAAGCCCAAGGATCTACCTAGCTCAGGCTTTGGTCTCTGACACTTACTGCAACCAGGTGCTTCCAGGGAAAGTGCAAGACAGCCAGCAGTGCACCTGTGGGACAGCTAGGCCACAGGGGATATTCACCCAACAAGTCAGCATTTGGCCCTGCCCTGCAGCATGAGGGTTTGTTTCCCATCCAGAATGCCTACTTGTTCTTGGTATTTATTCTTGTAGCTCTGCGTGATCTTGTTGTCTGTAGGAACGTCCAGTTGTTCTCTACATCTCCTGACCTCACTGACCTTGTTGCAGTGAGTTCCACAAGCCACGTGTCTTTCTTTCATATCAGATTTTACTTGGTGAAGTCTCTGTTTCTTTCACTTTATGTGCATGCCTAGCCCCCTTGCAATAGGATCTGAGACCTTCACAGCCTAACAGATCTTCTGCCAACAGCCCTGTGAGGTAGGGCAATGCTATCATCCTCATCTTGCACCTGGGGAACTAGGTATGGAGGGCTTGTCTCTATCTCTGCAATGGTTAGTCCTGGCAAGAGCAGCCCACATCCATGTGAGGCTGCAGGCACGTTTCTGACATAGAAGTTCACCAGTTAGGCTGCTCCAGGCTTGTTCGCAGCACCTTCTCTCAAGCCGTTGGTCTCCAATGGAGCTGAAAGCAGGCACTGGGAACAAGCCCAGAGCTGCCTCAGTGCAGTGGTAGAAGCCAATGGAGCCTAAGTGGCTTGCCCAGGATCACATAAGGAATCTGTGGCAAGCCTGTCTTACAGGCCTACTAACCATAAGGCATATCATTTTTGTGCAACTGCTTCAGCACTGGGACCAGCCATCCCTGGATCTGCACCCCTGTTCCCCGGAGGTCCTATAGCCTGACTAAGATTGCACCCATACACTATTGCAAGGACCCACATCAGATCTCTGCCATGTTCGCTGACAGAAGTGATATTTGTCATGCAATCAGCCTCTTGAAAATGCTCTACAGCTTTGCCTGGACAGAAGTGAATGGCTGCAGAGCACTTTAAAAGTGCCCAATTGTGCGACAAATTAACCGCCATTTAACTCCAAAGTGGAGTGCCTTTATTAACTTCTGTTTGTCCCTGCACGTGAGCAAGGCTAGGCTGATACAGCCCAGATCTGCCCCCGCTGCTGTTTGCAGGATGGGAGGGGGAGAAAGCAGGGGAGGGAGCTCTGGTCTGGGGTTTGCCCAGCCTGCACTGGAGTGGGTGGATTGGAACCCCCTGAAGTTTGCATTGGCTGGGGGAGCCCCAGACCAGAGCTCCCTCCTCTGTCTTTTCCCCCTCCCATTCTGCAGACAGCACCTGAGCTGGGAGGCAGGCGACAGGGATAGGGGAGAGAGGCTGCAGACACCCGCTGGACTGGCTCGAAAGTGGAGTTCCATCCTGTCCCCCTTCCCTGCATTCTGAACAAACAGTGAACATCTGCTTTGGGGGGAGTCGCTGTAACTCATGGCACTTTCTGTGAAGCGCCATGAGTTACAGCAGGTAATTGCAAGTCTGTCGGCACCCCTTGTGTCCAACAGCAGTCATTTGCATCCTGCAAAGATTGCCTGTAACTTTGGATCACAACCCTGGGACAAGAACTTCAGTTTTAGCTGAACATCTACTGAGGATGGGGAACTCCAAGCACCAGTCCTAGTCCTGTTCGATACAGTAGAACCTCCTGTGCGGAATGAACCACAGGGCACTTTTCTCATACGTGCGCTGGTGCATCCAATGCCTAGAAAGCCAGGGAACACCCAGTCATAAGGCAAAAAATCACCAAGACAACCCTGTCAATGGCACCTTTTGTAGGTGAACCTTGCAAGGACTAAGCAGAACAGCCTGCCTCTTCCCTACAACCACTTCCTTCTTGAAAGGGCTGGGGGAGGAGGCAGGGGTGTGTCTCTCTCCTGGAACTCAGGTAGATGCACACCAACATCCCTGTGCAACTGGCACAATAAGGAACCAGGAAGTGGAGCCCAGGGAACAGAGATCATTCCACAGAGAGGGGCCGGCCAGAGGAGAAGCACATTCAACAAAAGCCCTGAGGTAATACTCTCTCACAGAAGCTGCCCCGTCCCCAGGTGTCCCTTTCCCCTTTGCATCTGTGCCAGCCACAAGCTGGGTGCTGGCTGTGTCTGCCTCACAAGCAAACCCAGGAGCTGAAGTTACTTCTTCATATGCCAAGCTCTGTACTGCCTAGGAGCCAGATTCCCTGTCCCTGGTTTCACAGGCAGCACTGGTCTGCGTGCGGCTGTGGGCTGCAGGTCTGTAAGGGGGACAGGCATGGGAAGTGACAGTGCTGGGGTTGTGCCAAGGGGCCGGGAAGCTGAGGAGGGCCAGGGAGGGAGCTAGGTGGGAAGTAGGTCCCCTCTTGTGGAGGTGGGCAGGGCTGGGGGGAGGGGGCAGTCCTGTGTAAGCAGGTCTCCCTTGAGCAGAAGACAGGGAGGAGCCAGGCTCGAACTGAGCAGGAAATGCAACTGGGAGAGAGGGAGGCTGCAGGACTCAGCTTGGGCCCAGCTTTTGTGCTACTCGTGGGGTGTTGGGGCAGCCATCAATAAAGAGAGCTCCCTGATTCATCCTTTAGGCCAGCAGTTCCCAATCTGTGATACATGTACCACCAGTGGTACACAGACAACCTGTCAGTGTTACATGTTAATAGATTTATTATAAATACTTTATATGACAAAAGTTTGCTGGTAGTACTTAAGGCTGAACTGAAAAATTTGCTGGTGGTACTTAAGGTTGTATCATTTTAAAGTGGTGGTATGCAATCTGTCAGTTTGGGAACTGCTGCTATAGGCACTCCCAGGGATGCTGGCTGCAGACCAAGGCGGTGGAGGGGCCCTTACAGTCATAGCAGTACTGCAAACAACCTGCTGCTCAGTACCTCCCACAGTGTACCTTGGCCCAGCCTCCAAGAGGGCCGAAATGCTGACGTACAGGGCAGCTGAAGTCTATCCCTTCCTGCTTCTATGCTTTAAGCCATTCCTGCACATCTTTATCTCTCCCTGGCCTAGGACAAGGCTGGGGCTTGGGAGAAGGGCCAGGGAAACAGTTTTGTGAGCTTCCCCCAGTGCGGGTGTATGTGGGGGGAGAGTTAAGAGTCTCTTGTCCCTTTCCACTCTGCAGCTCATTGTGGAAGCAGTTGGCTGCCGTTTCCTTTCTGCCGTCACAGCTGGTGACATTTTCAAGGAGCCTGCTAAGGAAAAAAAGGGCTAGAAATGCAATTGCAAATGAGAGCTGAGGCTCCTCTTCATGGCAGTGAAGCCTGGTCCTGTACAGGGAGGGACTGTCCAGCCTCTCCCACTGCCTCGGTGATATCTTCTAGTCACTTCTCCACCTGCTGCACTACAGCCTCTTCTGGCGGGGAGTGCGTGGGCTCTGCCTTAGCAATAGGAGGCTACACTTACAACTGGAAGTGGATGTTAGTGACTAGGACAGAAGGGGCTTACAGCTGGAGTATTAGTCATGCATGTAGGGCATGGGGTGGTTTGCTCTGGGTATGGTTTTGGCACCTCTCAGCACCCATTCCCACCTGAAATGCCCAGGGCAGTGATACCAACACCCCCACCACAGTCTCTCTGGTGTGTATACCAGGCCTGTAGGGAATAGTCCTCATGATTGCAAAGCAAGCCTTCCAGACATGAGTATAAGCAATGCCCGGCAGTCTTCCTCAGGGAGCTGACAACCTGAAACTACATCTCAGAAAAGTGTGCCACCTTCACACATCAAACATAATGTTCACTCTGAAGTCTAAAGAGGGCACACGTCCACCTCTCCTACTTCATGGATAATCATCTTAGCAGCTGGCAGACTTAACTAGGGAGGGGAACTGGGTTTTGCAGCAAAGGAGGAAATGTGGAGAGGGAGAGAAAAAAAAGGAAGTGGCACAAGGACAGGGAAAGGGGAGAGAAAGAGGATGGAGAGGGGAAGAGAAATGAGGCAGGGAAGTTCAAATAATGGCCAGGTTTTCCCACGGAGTGACACTGAGCACCACAGAAAGCACAGCCGGTACGTCCCCCCTGTGCTTGTGCTGCACTTCGCTGCTGGAGGGTGCGCTGCTGTGGACTGAGGGGGCTGGGGGCTCCACGGAGCCCAGTCTTCTCCAATGAATCAACATGGCAACTCCTCCCAACAGCATTCGGTTTTGCAAAGAAAACAGGTAGAAACAGAATTCCTGCTCTAGTCTGCTGCTTATGGGCTCTTTGCCCATGATATTATTGTGAGGGCTGGTTAATCCATTTTAGACCCTTCTCAGACACCCCTTTAGAGTGGAAGCTCCTGGAGCTGCAATGACAGATGCAGATCACAGTGCGTAGCGCTAGTTGGAGGCAGTGCCTTAGAAGGGTGCTGCTTCTGAAGCAGGGAAACGACCCCAGCAGGGGTAGCTGTCTGGTGCCCCAGAGAGGAAGACAGTGGGAGTCTCTTCATGGTCAGGGCAGGCTGCCTAATGGAGCCAGGTACCAACACCAAGCCTCCCTCCCTTCTCTCTGTAGATTGGATATCTGGGAAAACCCTGAAAAGGATAAAACAAAATGGGGTCTGGAGGCCAAAGCTTTGGAGATGAATTGGAAAACCAGATCAATGATGCTCTGAGCAAGCTGGCAAGCAAAAACCCATTCCAGTCTGACTGGGACATTGCTGCTTTTGCCATTTTCTTCATCTTCATTGGTAAGTGTGGGGCTAAATTGGCTGTTCTCAACATGCTGGTGGATACTTGGGACTCACACATCCAGCTGCTGCACTCCTGCACCGCGGTGCAGGGGCACAGGCCCTGGGAGGCAGAGGCCAACTCCTGAGGTGTGACTGCCCAGTAACAGAAGGTGAGGGGTGGCTTCCTGCACGCTTCTCACAGAGAAAGAAAACATCTTATTCCTCTGCCCAGGAAAACTGTGTGAGTGATTATTCTTCTTACAGCTGTTTTTAGCAGGGCTTCAAGTACAGAGGATGAGGCTGTGGTATGGGACAGGACTCATAAAGAAACAATGGTGCTGTTAATAATGCATGAAGTCCCCACGCGCCAATTCTCTTGGAGCAATACTGCCAGGAAAAATGGTCTAATAGTAAACAGAGGGTCACCAGAAGGCCATGAAAAATATTAACTGAGCTGGGGAACTTGGAGCACGGAATGAATCAAGGTCTCCAGGAAAATAGGATGTGCTTTCTGCAGATAAGCAGTCAAATGACTCTAAACAGCAGTCAGCCAAGCAAACACAACAATGCTCAGGGTTGCAGCAAATGAAAGCTTGAAATGGGAAACAGGTCACCGCAGAGGTGAAGTAGATTGAGGTGCGGGGAAGCCTGGCATCCTCTGAGCTGCGTGGAATCAAATTAACATGAGAAAAATGCCACATCAAACTGCTGGCTTGCCAAGGGCTGCCCAAATGACTGCTCTGGGGGCATTTCTTTGATGTGGAGGATGTGCATGGGAAGCGGCTACGTGTGCGTCTCACCTCTCAGAACTGGCTGACATAAAAGCTGCATTGGTGTAAACGTTTCAGTGTCCCTTTACAGCAGCTTATTGAAGCAGGCATGAAAATATGCTTGGACCTTCCTAGTCTGCCTAATTCTGTTTTATTCAGGTTTAACTCAAGTCAGTCAAGAAGTGGTGTAAATTAATCCGAATGAACTGGACTCACCAAGAAGAGCATCCACATTGAGATTTAGCCAAAGCAGGGCCTTTAGATAGGGCTGGAGCTGCCTCCTCATGAGGGTTGTCCCCCACCATTCCCTCAGAGGACTAACTTCCTTGACCAGTGTCAGAGAAGCAGACATATGAGTCCATGAACCCTGCAGACAATGCCTGTCTTGTTTAATGGTCTCAGTTAAAAGTGCTCCTCACCTCCTTTCTCTCTCCAGTAACACATACTGGCTTTGACTGTGCTTCGGCCCCATGCTACAACAACAGCAACAGGTCATTGGGTCCCATACATTTGAAGTCCCTGGGGACTGACCAGCTTCCAGGCACTGACCCCTGGTTCGGGGTCTCTAGGTGCACTCTCGGGTGCAGGTCCTCTGTCAGGCAACTCTTCAGCAGAGCTAGGACCTGCCGTCCAACTGCCTGCCCCAGGGACAGATTGTGCTGTCCCTCACATTACCCCTAGCTCAGACACCCCCTCCCTGGGCTTTGGCTGGTGGGCACTTTACAGTTACAGTTTTACCCTTCAAGGGCTTGTGATAACCATCAATGCAGCATGTGTATGCACACATGCACATACATGCGCATGCATATACACCCACCCCAGCACAGCACGTGTACACACACATCAGCAAAAAGAAATGACCCAGTCAAGACTTCAGAAACACACAGATCCAGACAAAGCCCCCACACCCGGCCGGCAATTCCTGCCTCAACATCCTTACCACTCTGGAGCAGTTTCTGGGGTGGCCCACGGTCCTCCTCTGGCTCCTGGCTTGTTTCCACTGACTTTAGTCAGTCGCGCTGCTGAAGCTCTCCCCTCTCCAGCTGTGAAAGCCAAGTTGTTGCTTCCTCTCTCCTGCCCCAAGCTTCCTGTGCATCCCCATGAACCTTCCCCTCCAAGCCCTTCCTGAACATTTTCTTGCTCTCTTGCTCTTTTGTCCACCTTGGGGATTCTTCGTTCTCCACCTCCCCAACTCACAGCAGAGTTGTGGGCAAACCACTGTCCCCACTCAGCATGCCCCCACAGAAAGGGCCCCTACAACAAGCATACATTTCTGATGCTGCACCAGGGGCCATGGCTTGAAGGTAACTTGTGAGGCACACATCAAGCTGAACTTATGGTAGTGCAGTCCCTGCCAGGGCCCGACCCAGTGAGGGGCCGACAAGCAGACAGATTATCAGCTGACACAATTACTTCATTCTGCTGCAGGTACGGTGCTCTTGCTGGTGCTCCTGGCTCTTATCCGTTGTTGTTGCTGCTGCTGCTGTGACTGTGACTCCCCCAGACACAAGAAGGTAATGCAGTGTCCCTCTCCATCTCAGCCTCAGCACAGGTTGTGGTGCAAGTGACATGCAGCATGCCATGCCATGGCAGAGAGCATGACTCTGCACAACCTCCTCTGCTCTCATGGTGTTACCCCATCTCACACACTTAAGCAGCCACCTACAGCCATGCTGGGATGAATGTCCCATGTCATAAACTAAGCAGCCCCTGGCTGGTTACTCAGTGACAGGGAGATCACTGGGGATTGCAGGTGCTGCAGACTTGAGCCACAGTGGTTGAACACTTGACAAATGTTAGTTCACAGACATTGAACAAGAGGAAAAGCTGCTGCTGGGGAGTGGGACTAAAACACCCTGCCACTTGGGCAGCCATCCACACTACAGAATCTACTGAGTCTGAGGAAGTCTTATCTACTATGGCCAAGACCAGCTGAGGTTGGAGGCAGAGGGCTGCACCATGCTGTAGTCTTGAAGCCTGCACGGTGTGTGCTAGCTCTGTCCTCTCTAGAACCTGAGTGTGCTCCACAGCAGGTTTTGGGTATAAAGCAGCTCACAGGCCACAACTGGCTCAGGAGCTAGTAGGTTTCATCATCTTTGCCTGCCAGGTGCTAAGAGGAATTTATTTCAAAGACTCAGGCTTTTCACAGCACAGGTGGAGAGGTGGGGAAGGCAGCCTTGTGCCCAAGTGACTGACATGATCCTATCTTCTTGAATCAAACAAGCAATACTCTATTTGGATTATAGCATGAACAATGGCGTAGAAATGAAACTGGTGTCCGCGGTCCATGCCATTGCATGGGAATTTATTCAGCGTGAAAGCCATTCAGTTCCAGTTCCATGAGCATTTATGCAAACTTTCCCTCTTGTGTTTTTTTCCCCAATTAGATTCCCCGGACCAAAGTGGGCATTGATAACTTGGGCATGGAGCCATAGCCCACCCCCTACCACCAAACCCTAGGACACATGGATTGCGAACCCAATGGATTCTCTTCTTGGCTGGCTTCTTCTTGCTACAAAGAAATCTCTTGCAGATTGGACTTTGCACTAATTGTGAGTGCCAGACCTGCTGGAGTTGGCTGGGGTCTTGGCCACACACAGCTCCATTGCAGCACATGCTCTTCCTTCTCTCTCTATAATGGTGAAGATCAAGCACTGAATATAGCTGACATCCACTGGGGCTAGGGACAGACATTACACATAAACTGGTTTAAGTGATCAGAAACTGGTTTAAATCTGTAACAGAACAGATGTTCAGTGCACATAAACTAGTTTGAGAGAAACCTGGTTGAATGTAGTATCAGACTCAACTGGTTTGGCTCAAAATGTTTATGCAATGTCTGTCCCAGACCCCTTGGTGGTTTAAGATAAACCAGACACCCCCAGCATTCCAGCATGCTCTCTGATCTCTGGCTGCAGCTCTGGCAGAAACTTGCAGGCACAGAGCATCTGCCTGGCTTCTCCCTGCTAAGCAGGGATTATTCCTCCATCACCTCTGCCTTACACAAACACTTCAGCATTAGCTAGCAGACCACACACTGGCTAAGGTCCTTGCTATGGGAGAGGACAGAGGCAGACAGGCTTTTTGGAGCTAATCAACAGGTAGCTTAATGTCCTTCCTTGGAAGAGCTGTTAAAAGAAGAGCTCCATTAATTAATGGAGAGAGGCTTTGTTTTCTTAATGAGCTGATAAACACTGAGTTAGGGGTGATAAACATTCCCTGCTGGGCAGCTGGGGGGGAATCCTGCTGGGGCCCCTGCAGCTCTGCCCTGTGGAAACAAAGGGAGGGCTGCTCTAGTGACTCCCGGCTTCTAGCCTGAGCCAATCCAGGCATGTCCCCGCATTTCTGGGATGTCTGTCTGGGTTATAAACTGATTTAGTGTGGCCAGGTTAGACTAACCTGCAAAAATTAAAGCCATTCAGGCTCAGGCTTTTTGAATGTCTGTCCCTAGCCCTACAGTGATTGACAGTTGTATAATGAGAGCTGTTTGCTGCAGGGCATGAGCTGGGCAGCCTGGGGAAAGAGAATCTGCCTCCCCCACCATACTGATAGAGTAGGGCATACTGCAGGGGTTTTACCCCTTCCTCCAAAGCAAACCTTATTTGGCCACTGTTGGAGACTGAATCTCAGCCCCTGTGCCCATGGAAAAGGCAGTGTGCGCACATCCCAGTGTCCGCCATATTAGCAGAGAGCCCCAGCTCTGAGTAAGGAGGTGCAGGCTGGAGCAGAGACAACGCCATGCTCTGGAGGGTACAAAGGGAATTAAAAGGTTGTCTTGGGTAGAAAAATAACCCACCACACATGACAAGCTGGTAATACCAGCTGTTGCCTCCTTGGCCAACTTGCCACAAACCTTCAGTCCCAGCACTTAGGAACTTGCAGAGCACACAACTAGTAAACAGGTCCCTTTTAGCCCCCCTCCTCCCCATTTGCAAATCATAAGAATATAAGAACTGCCATTCACTGGGTCAAACCATAGGTCCATCTTGTCCAGTATCCCATGTGGCAGAGAGCAGCTGCTGAAAGGGTTTGAATCTGCCTTACAAAGCACAGGGAAACCAGTCAGTGAAAGGACTGCTCTGGGCAGGAACATGGCTTCTGGTTTTTCCAACAGGCCCTTTAAAATCAGCCTCTAGGGACCATGTGGGAGTTCAAAGAACATGCTTCTCTTCCTTCTGAACAAGGCTTTCCCTTTTTTCATTTTATGCTAGATCCTTTCCCCTTTTCCTGAGCACCCTTGAGGGCATAATCTCTGTACAACAGCTGCCCAGCACATCCAATATGCAGTACCCTTTGCTCTTTCCATCCAGCTTTTCATAGCTCCCTTTAGCACTCGCTTGGGCCAGTACAGAGAGCATCACCTACAGGATACAAAAGGGCCCCTTCTGCCACTGCAGTGGAAGCTGAATCCCAAGCCCTCTCCCCCTGCTGCAATGGAAGGCATACTCCAAACTGCTGGCGATAATTTAAGAGCCCCTTTGCTTGGAAGTTTTGCCGGTTTCAGCAGCCTTCCCTCTCCGAGACTCGGCCCATTGCTGCTAATTAATGCCTTATGACCAGAGCTTTGCAGGCTAGCTAGAGTCAAGCTCCAGGAGTGGTGCAAGTATGGGGACACCCTTCCTGCTGACAACTTCTCTCTGCCTTCCTGACTGTCTTCTCCCACCCAGCCCTCCATGTATCTACTAACACTTCTGAAAGAACCCAACTGTAGCATGCTGAAGTCATCCTGAGCATCTCAAGCCAACAATCTGTACTGTATATAAATACTTTGTTTTCAGAGCCAAATTCAAGAAGAAACACTTGTGATTACAATAAAACACATGCTTAGTGTGGAGATCAGCTGGCTAGGAAGATCTGTTAAACCCTTTGGATACATTGGGTAAGCATAGATTGTTATATGCCCAGAGAATACTATTCACTTGGCTGGCTGGCTGTCCTCACAGGATGATGATGGACTAAATGCTCAGCCTGAAATGGTCTTGACATACACATATAACAAGCAATCTCTCCCCTTCTCTTTCCTTTTGGAGGAGATGCTTAGACAGGGATGCTCCTGCCTGAGGCAGAGGACTGGACTAGTTGCTCTCTTAAGTTCCCTTCCTGCCCCCTTTTTTAGGATTCCTCCTTCCCATGATCATTCCAGGACCAGTTAATGGTGCCACTGTCCTGTTGTTGCAACATGCTTCTGGTGCCAGCTAGAAAACCATTGCTGCAGTCTTCTTCAGGGCAATGCCTGCCTTCTGCCAGACCAGAGCCCCTGTCCAAGGTCAGGAATCAAGCAATATGAGTTCCACTGATTGGTGCCCAGAGATTCCAGAATTGCCAGTTTCTGCACAAATACAGCCTGGCTGCTGGGATTCAACCAAGAAGCTCCTTAAGAGCAGGGGCAGGGGTCCAGCTGGGCAGTTAGGATACCATTACTTCCTTGCCCAGAAACTGAGAACAAGTGGAGCTGTCCTCATGGAAAGGACCGAACCACCTACAGGGTGGAAGAGAGGGGCAATGGAAGAGGTTTCATGTGACAGACACAAACTCTTGCCAGTGTCAGCAACAGCAGTGGAAGCAAAGTGCAGGCTACCTGGTCACAGCAGGGAACAGGGTGACTTCTTGCAGAGCCCCACTTCTGAGCATTAGAAAGGATAAAGTGCCCTTGGCTGCACATGGTGGAAAAATTTCCCTAATAACCTGCTGCTGGGAGAGGGCTTGGCATTTGGTCCTAGACTCCAGGCACTAGCACAAACTAAAGACAGTTGCCACCCCCTACATTAAAAGGATCTTCAGAAGTGGAAGATGGACAATTAGCAACAGCCAGACTGCCATCTGACAAGCCATTAAATAGGAGACAGGATGTGTGTGTGGGCCAAGAAAGGTGGTCAGCAGCAGAGCAGAACATTAGGGAGGGCTGATAGGTTTAAAGGGTGATGATTTGGAGTCACTAGTGAGACTGCTAATAGATCAGCACATTCAGGTTTCTCCTTCCAGGTTTTGGCTTTCCTTATCCACTAATAAACCAGCATTTATCCACCTCATCTAATGGCCATCTGCAGGCTAAAGGACTGTAACTACATGCATCGCCTGCTGCTGCTAGAGTATGGATTAGCACAAAGGAAGCATAGCACCATGCAGAAAGGCTGTGGGAGTGATGGAGTTTGCGGCCTGAGGGTTTTGCAGGACAGGAGAGGTGCTCACTATACCTGGCTGCTCCATTCCCCAGTGGCTGCAAAGGGAGAGGCAGAGCAGCAAACAGATGCATTGTGATCTTTCACAGAGCTCTGGGTGCCAGCTTGCTTCACAGCCAAGAACTCTCCCCTCCTTGTTCCCCCATTCCCTGTGGCAAGGAGGATACATACCATGCAGGAATCTCAGAGACCTTTAGAACTGGGCAGGGCAAAGCAGCAGGGAAGGAACCACACAGGGTATATTTCTGTGCTTAGCACACACAAAAGGTGAAAATCCCATGCTCCAAGCCTGGGTCAAAGTCCACTGCTGGGCCACAGGGAAGGGTACTTATTGGCAAGTACACAAAGAGCACAAACCTGCCCCTGGGAAAGGAGCCAAGTGCAACAGTGCAGGGAAAGAAGGAAGAAGGCCTTCTGTGCACCACCTCTTGGAAACAGCCCAGGCCCCACCACTACACACAGCCCCTAGCACCTCAATCCTGTCTGATCACAGAGGACTGCTGCCAGCCTTGGCCATTTTCAAGGGGCCTAGGCTAAGATGCAGAAGTGTTGCTAAGCAGAAGGCCCCAAAGACTGTTTCTGAGTGACCATAGTGTGACAACTAACTTGGTCAGCAAGTAAAGGAAGCCATCAAACAATTAAACAAAGCAAAATGCCTGAAAGAAGATGAAGGAAGACCATACATTAAATAATCCATATACACTATATCATAGCTTTATCTTAAAATAGTAATAGTAGTGATTGATGTAGCAAATAACATCCAATACATAGGGTTATAATAGCTATATTTTTGTTAAGATACTTAAATAATTCATTAAAAACAAAAAAAACCCCCCCCAAAACCAGCCTCATCAGAGAAGCCCATAAATTAAGAAGAAACAGACCAGTGTTTTACAACATTCCACAAAAGGGAAAGAAAGGAGATAAGAAACCATCCTGCTTTCTTTCCCAAAGATATAAATCCTAACGGACACCTTCCAAGTCCACAAGTGACCTGGTTTAGTCCAGTTCCAAGTTTCAGTAAAACAAAGACATTTAAATAAAACCAATCAGAGATCATTTATTAGAATATTAGAAGCAGCCATCTATAAATATTGAGCACAGGCTGGAGGGAAACTTGAAGAACTCAGCAAATCCAAGAAGACCTGCAGCCAATCCACATACTACCCTCCTCCCACCTCTGGAGTCTCCCCACCCAGTATAGGTAAGAATTGTGATGTGTTGTCATGGGTAGCCAGATAGACTTTGGGATAAATGTTTGTTTTCATGTTTTAAGGTACAAGCAAATAAAAGGTTGGACTGTAGACCTGTTTCTGCCTCTTATCAGTAGCCTACCCACAAGGTTACCTGTAATCTGGGTAACAGGAGGGAAGCTGAGTGAGTTCAAACATACTGTACCATGCATGAACTTGTATCCAAGGTGGGGGACACACTTTTTCAGCACGTAGGGCATTTATAGATATGCTCTGGGAGGCTGAGTGGGGGGAGAGGTGGTGGTGTTTTAATTAGAGCAGCTCCAAGAGCCGCTGTAATTAAAGCACCCAAAGCATCACGTGTATCAGTATCCCCGCACTGAAAAGTGAGCTTTAGTTAAAGTGTCCCCACCATCATTTTTCAACATGAGGACACTGATGCAAGTGATACTGGAGTCTGGAGCACAGTAATTACCATACTCCAGCAGACTCAATTAATGGAGTCTGCTCTGACGCACTGTAATTACAGCACGTTGGAGCAGCCTCGCTGCATGTGTATAGGGGCTCTTAGACTTTACAACTCCAATTGTTCTGGGTCCCAGTGTAGTCCAGGTTACCCAATTCTGGCCTTCAAAAAAAAAACCTTCCAATTCTGTCCTCACCTCTATCCTGTACTCTGCTCAGTGCCTCTCACCAGCTCTTCCTCTGGGGTTACCCTTCCATTTACCCTTTACTCAGATTGCAGCCCCCCTGGGAGCAGTGATCCAGGCTCTCCATCCATCAGACAGTCAAGTGGGGAGGCATCTCAGATGACAGGTTTAGCAGATCATGGACACAATATAATTCCCAGTGACTGATGCTGTTAGCAGACACAAGGCCAAGAGCTTGGTTTGAGGGTCTTTATTTCACAAATATCAACTGTGCAGAGGAACAATTCACATACCATAGCATCAATATATATGAGGCAGCTAACAATTATCCTACCACACGGAATGTGAGCCACAAATTAATGTCCTGGGTCACTCAGTGGCAGGATGCAGAGTGCACAGCAGCAGCCCCAGCACTGAGGGCAGAGGGAGGGTCCATATCACATGCCAGGGACAGATCTGAGGTCTAACACAAAGAAACAGCTGGCCTGTGTGGGGCAGACAGGAAGGGACTGAAATGCACAGGTACTCACATTGGTGCCAGGGAGATGCTTCAGGAAACATCTGAAGAGATGCTGGGGAGGTTCCTTGACTGCAGGGAATGAGGCTTGGGGTGTTCAGAAGCAATGTCACAGCCAAGGAGATGACACCTTGACCTATGACATGTTGCACTGACCAGGAACCCAGCATGCCCCAATTAGTGTTGGTTACTCCATTTCTGTCCCTCCTCAGCCCTGCTCATGGTCCAGTGATCTCTACAGTATGTGCAAACAGACTAGTTTTATTTTCCACTGTCCTTCCCCCCCCTCCCACCTGCCTGTCCCCACCCCCCTCCCCGCTCAGCCCCTTATACCTGGACCAGACAAGTACTCAAGGGTTTGCACAGTACAAATAAATAATGTCCCATGTGTGAACGCAGATGCAAGAAGCTGTTGGTGGACATCACACTCCTGCTCAGGGCCTGGCTCAACACCACAACGTGAGAAGCCCTGCGTTTGAAGGTTGAGCTGGCTCCTAAAGCTGGTGTCTCTGGAGAGCACTGATCCCATTTTGTGGCAGGGTGGAGGCTCATGGCCATGATGCTCTCTCAGGCTTACTTACTCATGGGGTTCTTCCTAAGAGGAACAGAGGTGTAGTGGTTGGGCTGTTTAGGGCAAACTTGCCAGGAGAAACTAGTACGGCCTGTAGTTCCAGTAACCAGAAAACACAGAGATCTGGAAAACAAGAAATAGAGTGATTAGAATCATAGAAAATAAGGGTTGGAAGGGACCTCAGGAAGTCATCTAGTCCAGCGTCCTGCTCAAACAGGCCCATCCTCAACTAGATCATTCCAGCCAAGGCTTTGTTGAGCCAGGCCTTAAAAACCTCCAAGGATGGAGATTCCAGCGCCTCTCTAGGTAACCCATTCCAGTGTTTCACCACCCTTCTAATGAGACAGTTTTTCCCAATATCCAACCTAAACTTCCCTTGCTGCAACTTGAGACCATTGAGCCTTGTTCTGTCATCTGTCACCACTGAGAACAGTCTAGCTCCTAGCTCTAGGCTAACTGCTCAGTCTCACATTAAAGCTCTTGCTACCACCAAACCAACAGCTTCCTCAGCCTGAGGGCCTTACAGACCAGACCACCTGTGAAGGCAGCTCTAAGGGCAAGAGAGAAGTTGGAAGAGCAATCAGAAGATGAAGGAGTCCACGATTCATTCAGGTCTCAGCCTCCCTTGGTGTCAGTAAAGTTTTAGGCCTCTAAGCACTCTATTCCCCAGAAGCCTCCCAATCCCTCAGAGCCCCTTGTTCCCTTTTAGCCTCAGAACAATGGCTGCATCCAGCTGGAAGGAGCAGGACACCAAACCCTCTGTGAAGCCGAGTTCAGATTTCCACTGGTGGAATGCACCCTCTGTACCTCCCCAAGCATACTGGCAGACTGGGGCAAAAGAGCTGGCTGAATTCTCAGGACCAAGCACTTCTTTTAGCACTGGTATTTCTAGCCAGCCCTGGAAAAACAACAAGCAGTTCTTGCTTCCAGCTTCAGAAGTGGCTGCAATGTCCCAGCCTGTAAGATGACACTAAGATGTGGGGAGAAGTGGGCACGCTAGAAGGGAGGAATAGGCTGCAATTGGACCTAGACAGGTTGCTGGGGTGGGCAGATGAGAACAGGATGGGTTTCAACACTGACAAGTGCAAGGTGCTGCACCTGGGGAGGAAGACCCAGCAACATACCTACAGGCTGGGGAACTCCCTTCTCATCAGTGCAGAGGCAGAAAAGGATCTTGGAATCATTACTGATGCCAAAATGAACAGGGGCCGACAGTGTGGGGATGCGGTCAGGAAGGCCAACCGCACCTTGTCATGCATCCACAGATGCATTTCAAGCAGGTCCAAGGAGGTGATCCTCCCCCTCTATGTGGCACTGGTTAGGCCGCAGTTGGAGTATTGCATCCAGTTATGGGCGCTGCACGTCAGGAGGGATGTGGGCAGCATTGAGAGGGTCCAGAGGAGGGCCACCCGCATGATTGGGGGCAGCAGGGCAGGCCCTACGAGGAGAGGATAAGGGACCTGAACCTGTTCAGCTTCCACAAGAGAAGGCTGAGGGGGATCTAGGGGCCTGTTACAAACTAGTCAGAGGGGACCAGCAGGCATTGGGGGAGGCCCTGTTCCCCCAAGCACTACCAGGAGTGACTAGAAATAACGGTCACAAGCTGGCAGAGGGTAGATTCAGACTAGACATCAGGAGGCGCTACTTCACTGTCAGGGCGGCTAGGATCTAGAACCAACTTCCAAGCAAAGTGGTGCTCCCTGGGGGTCTTTAAGGAGGAAGCTAGATGAACACGTTGCTGGGATCCTTTGACCCCCAGTACTTTTTCCTGCCATGGCAGGGGGTTGGACTTGATGATCTGCTCAGGTCCCTTCCGACCCTACCAACTATGAAACTATGTTATGGCTTTTGTTTTGTTTTGTTTTTTTTCCAAGCCACACACATGAACATAGTGCAAGTATTGTGCACAGTGTTTTAGAGTCCTGGCTCCCAGGCATCTTATAATCTCTGAAGATACCCCATCAGCAAGCTGTTACACTGCATTTCTCATCCTCAGATACCACAGCCCATTACAAGGGAGAAAACCCTTTTGACAGATAGGGGACACGAGGCAAAGGAGTACAAAGCAACTTCCTCAGTCACAGCCACGCCAACAACAGAACAAGGAACAGCCCAGGTACTGTGGGCAGGGCAGAGACTTTATGATTCCTGAACTATGAGATTTCAAAGCATTTTGCACTCTCCTTTTTGTCTGGCCATCAGTCCAAGAGACTCAGTTCTCCACCTACAGAACTTGCCCCTTGCCTGCTCATGCTCCTAAAGCTCCCTCAATTATTCTGAATTTTCCTGCAGAGCATTCACTACCCACTGGGTCTAGAGCAGCCACTTCCAGTGGCTTCCTTAAACACTCTTGTAGATGTGCAACCAAAGCAAACCAAACAGTACACTTTGTACTAACCTCTGGGCACACATCTATGGTTAAGCCACTCTTTCTCAAGGAGAGTCATTAGGTTATGACTCAGAGACAGACCTGAAGCTCTTTCAAAGAACCTCTTCCCTTTCCTCCCCCACACAGTTCCTACCTTGTCCTTCAGCTGCTGGCAGAGCTGCAGTGAGACAGTGAAGAAGACGAGGGCATCATTTAGCCAAGGTACCACACACTCCACTTTATGGACATGGCTGACTTCATATCTTTGGCTGCCAAACTCACTGCAAAGGGGACACAGTGTTTCTCACAGGGCAGGCTCCAGTGTATGGGGCAGGATAGACAGACTCCAGCGCAAGCTCATTTATCTGCCCAGCACTGAGGGGAAAAGGGGACAGGGCCCAGAGCTGTGCAGCCAGTTGGGGGGGGGGGGGGGAGCGGTGAGGGTCTTGGTTTTGCTGTCTCACACTACACCATCAGTTAGGGGCATCTTTTCATGCTCAAGATTGCAAGAGGCTGAGAGTGTCAGGAAGCAGATCTAGGCTTCCCTTCTCCAGCTTCATCCTGAGGACACTTAGCTCCACTGACTTGTGCTCAGACAGAGCTGAACTGAGCCTTTTGACAAAGTCAGGTTGACATGTCTGCTTGATGTACCCACTCCTGGCTGAAGTGATAGGGGAATTCTAGGGGCAATGCTACGACTCCCAGATGCTGGGCAGCAGCCTGGAATACTCCCAATGCCTCCCCTCCCCTCTTCTGAAAGAAGCCACCATAATTCCCAATGAAAGCAAAACTGTTAGACCCTGCAGCTGATAGCAAAGTGACTCAGGCCAGCTCCAGCTGGTTCAAGCATGAATAGGGCATATGCAAGGAGAGCAACACTTCCTACAGAACCACAGTGTGGGTAATGCTGATGGTAAGTTAGTGTTCTCCTTTGCTGACTGATCTGCTGTCTCTGCCCACCTCCTCTGAGCTAGAACTCTATTCTCAACAGCCACCACTCTGTGCCAGGGAGTGAGTCATAGAAGAGCTCTCTTGCTCAGCAGCTGCCAGCACTTACATGCACCAGTGGCAGGTATAGTCACATTGGCTTACTATAGCCTCCCCCACCACCCCAAGAGCAGAGACTCTCCATGGGCCATCTTCAAAACTGCTCATAAGCCAGACTAATATCAGAGCTTGGATTTTGCTGTGCATCAACACCAAGGGTCCATAGTTATACAGGTCTTCCGCCCCATGTTACACAGCCCTGATGCAGGAGGTACTTACAACATGGCCCCAGGGTTGTGCAGAATGGACCCTCCCGCAGGTCTGAAATGCTGGACAGAGATGCAAAGGGGATGTTAGATCATGTGAAATTTAACATAACATAGCAAGTGACTGGTTAGGATGCACAGGGCAAATGCACCTGGGACTCTCCATACACGCTTGCTGCTAATTACAATGAGAAACAGCCTGACATCCCAGAAGATGGGCAAATCCCAGTAACTGCAAGGCAGCATTGAAGAGTCCCTGCTGCCCCTTTGGAGTACACACACCTGCTGGGCCCATAGCCTGGGCTTTGCAGAAGGCAACTACATGAAGTTGGAGCCTGAGAGTGAGTGCCAAGACAAAGCCCTTCTCATACAAGGTCTGCATGTCAAAGTATTGCAGTACTGAGATCCTGAACATTCCCATCCAGCAGATCTCAATCAGCAATGTGAGACTGACTCATGTATATGAAACTATCCAGGCTGAGAAGGCAAGCAGCAGACAAGAATCAGCAGGAGAAGAAGATCCAATCTTATAAACACCTGCAGCTTGAATAATGTAAGCTGCTATTTGTAATTCCTTGGGGAGCAGGGGGAGGTTAAAGAGAAGCAGACTAACTCCACTGTCTTTCTTTAACACTACTAGAAAAGTTAAAACAGCACTGGCTACCTCTGGGCCCTATTCAAACAGCTCCAGCTTTGCTGACACATCATGCTGAAAGCCAAGTTTGAGCTATCAAAGGGATAGTGCACCCAGGCTCCTCCTGTGGGGAAAGTACAGAAAGGAGACACAGGAGCTACCAGAACGTGCCTTGGTGGAGTTGGGCTGCAGCGCGTGGAGCTGGTAGACGGTCAGACACAGCTTGTTCAGGTTAATGTAGAAATTGACAAGAATGTCCGAGGGCAGAGCAGGAGTGAACATTTTCTGCGGAGAAAACAGAAGCAGTTCCCATATCAGCAAAAGGTGCCCATATCCAAAGCCATGACAATCCTATTACATTCTACAGGGAAATAAGAGAACTGAGATACCCCCTTCATCAAAGTGATTCTGGAGTCACCAGGTGCAGGGAGAGAGATGTTAACAGCTCTGACTAAGGGCAAAAGCGGCACAACAATAAGCCTGGAGAAGGGGTGCAGAAATGTAGCCACTTATCTTGCCGCACCTGGTTAGATGTTCTTTGCTCCAATGCTAGTGAGTGTGTAATGATACAGAGGAGACCAGGGCTAGACTTCAAGACACCATGGGGTTTACTCCAGAAAGGCCCAATTAGAAAAAAAAAATCACAACCTCCCCTTCAGCACTAGGCTCTGTAAGCCCAGGTCTGCAACTCCCAACAGTGAGGAAATGCAGACTGACAGCTTCTTCCATGCTCTGTTAAAAAGGAAGATCTTTTCCCTGAATCACAAGGGTACAACCAAATACAGCAAGCCAAAGCCCCGGCATGGAGGGGCTGGGTGTTCCTCCTTACTGGATGCACAGGAGGAGCAGCACAAGGTTACCTACCGTAAGGCCGCTGGAGGCGATTTCCGGTAGGGTCAGGGTGGCTGGAGTGGTGAGCCGATTCCGAGCTCTTGTTAGCTGTAACATTACCGCATCCATCAGCTGGGAAGAAACACATGCACAGTCTGTCTGGAGGCCCTGATGCAGCTTTAGGCAATGGGCTGGAAACCTCAACAGCCCTTCTGGGCAGTGGCAAACTACATCAGAGGATCAAACAGATTCAGGACAGAAGCAAGTAAATCTCTCAGGCCATCAGCAAGCCAAGGCCTCTTCAGCAGAGATTTCACATGCTACCTGGCCAGTGCAGGTGACTAGAGGTATGTTCTGCCAAAGCCAAATGCATCTCCCTGTTTGCCTTCCACCAACAGCACAGCACCCCCACTCAACAACATTCAGACTCCCTCCCTGATATGCAGCCATTCCCCCATGCCAGCACTTACAGTGAGCATCATTTTGCCCTGCAAAACCTGCTAAAGAGCACATGGTGCTTGAAGCCCAATCCCTGCCCTCCCCACCCCCTGCAGCAAACTCTTTGCATCTGTACCCTGCTGGGCAATGGAGTTAGGAGCAGAAAAGAGCTGAAGCAGAACAACAGGTTAGATAGGGAGGGAACCTGCACAGAAACACTGCGCAGAAAGAGGACTGGGGATTCAGGGGCTTTGTAAGAAGGAGATTTCTATCATATGACCACAGTTTTGCTGGTGAAGATCCTCCAACAGCCTCTGGGGTTGTTCTCAGATGTGCCAATTCACTCTGCTCCCTCAGCCCCCAACTGTGCCTTGAGCCAGCTCCAGTTCCAGGAGGCACAACAGGCAGAGAACACACAAGTTAAGGGCCAATGCCAAAGCATCTAGACAGACACCACAAGCTCTTCTGGAGGCTATACGAGAACACACAGCTGAACTGCTCTAAGGGGCCCTGATCCAGCAAGCACAACACTGCAGTTGGGGAAGCAGTTATGTGGATGGCCACAACTGCTCCCACATGAATAAAGTGACCAGACTTCAGTCGGCCCAGCTCTTGCCCATGACTACTGCACTGATGGCTCCTCCTCCTGGCAGGGACATCTCAGCCAGAGAGAGATGGGGAGCATCTCCTGGGGAGCTGGAGGGGGCAGTGTCTAGCTGATGATCACCAGCTAAGGCTCTCTGAGTAATGATGACTCATATTCTCCCTAGACCAGAGCAAAGTCTTATTTGGTGATCATCTCCCGAGTAATAGGCCTTGCCTAGGTGAGAGCCAGACTTTACTTTCTCACACTTGTGACTGTAACAGGCTATAACCATGAGTCTAAGTCCTTGTGGGTATAGAGGGATTCAAGCAGAGAGCTGGGTTCTGTACCAGGAAGCAGCTCTTCTGTACCCAACTGTGCTGGATCTACTGCAAAGCATCTCTTGACTTGCCTGCTAGAGCTTCAGGCCTCTAAACAGGTGGCAGCTCTGGTCTGTAAAGAACCTCATTCCACCTGTTCCCATGAGTGACACTGGCAGGGAGAGGGCTCTGTTTATTTCCCAGCATAAACTAGTGGACACAGGCGATTTGTGCCACCTTAGTCTGGGGGTGCACATGCCACCCCTGCGACCATTCACACCAACCAGGAGGTGGGTGGGGTGGGCATTTCCCCCACGGCTGATCCTGCTGACCGGAGGTGGGGAGGTTCCCCCATGGTCAATCTTGCTGCCCCAGGGGGGTGGGAGAAGCAGTACTTCTAGGAGCAGCTGTAGCAAAAATCGGCTGGCACCTGCAGGGGAGCACCAGCACTCCCGCCTGCCCCCCCTGCCCACCGCTTAAGTGGCAAGTGCAGCCAGCCAGGGGGTGCACCAGCACTCTCAGGGAGTACACATGCACCCCCTATGCGTCGCCACTGTTAGTGGAACAAGCTGTGGCCCAAAAGCCTGTCAGGGTAGGAACCAGCATCCCACACTCATGTCACACTGGTGCTGGCCGCCTCATCCAGATGCATGCCATATACAAGATCCCATGGAAGCACAACATCAGGACACACACCTCAGGTCGGGGAGCCACATACTTGAAGCTTCAGCTTAGCATAGGAACAAAGCATTCCCCCTGCCCCGCATCTCCCCGAGATTGCATTCTGTTCACCTTGAGGACTTCTGAGCCTGTTTTGAACTGGTAGTCGACATCTCGGTTTGTGAGCAGGTAAATTGCTTGGTTCACGTGATTTCTTGCATCCTGAATCTGCGAAGGAACAGGATGCAACAGTGTTACAATAGCTCTCTCTAGAGTACTGTTGGAAAGCAACTGCCCCCTTTTCCACAACCTGATCCATTGGTTCATCGGACATCATGTGAACACTGCATGTTAAAAGCCATTTTCCTCTAAGTATCTGCCACTTACTACCAGCATACAGACTGCAGAGCTACTGGTCTCTTGGACCAGAGATTATAGATATTGAGGGTCTGGAGTCTGGGGCCTGCTCTTTTACAACTGGCAGAGCAGCGATGTAGGGGAGTCAGATCTTGCAAGCAAGTAGTGCCAGGGGGAAAAAAAAAGCAATACGTTGCTATTCCACAAGGAATTCCCACTGCTGAGTTGTGTACAATAGTCAGATCCGGCCCCAATTGCTAGATGCGGCGCCTGTACTCTCAGGAACCATTACCACAGCTAACGCCATCCAACATCTGATTGCCTGTAAGAGAAAGAAATCAATGCTTTCTGCTCCCAGACCTCTGGGAATATTTAAAAGCCTCTGAAGTGAGTTCACTGGGGCTGAGAATTACCAGCAGTTGAGAGGAACTGCTGCTGTAGCACTTGGGCTCCGGGGAGTACACCTTTGTGCTTGCTTCCTGCACAGCTTTTGGCAGGACAGACATGCGGCATGTCAGGCTACAGCCCCTTTGCACCAAGACAGGCTGCAGCCACAGGCACTCACTGTGCAGAGGTTAAAGTAGGGCGACTGGGGGTGGGGGGCAGCGGGGGGAGGCACATGCCAACAGCAGTATAAGAACACAAGGTGCCAGTTACAAACAGAATAGGAAACAGATACACACGTAGCCCCAGGCTTCGCTCATGGGAGTCTACGGCTTAGCTCTTTCTTCCTCTTACTTCTCCCTACTCCCTTAATCTCAGTCCAGCCTCTAAAAGGGCTGAATCAAACCTCACTGGCACAAACCAGAAACAGGTTTACATGAAAACCCTGTGTGCGATAGGCAGTTGTTTCCCTCCTATCAGCTTGCAAAAGTCCCCTACTCCTGAGGGGTGAGCAAATACCCAGTGCAAACCCACTATGACATAGCATGCAACTGGCAGCTTAGAGGGCCTGCTAGCCCTGGTGATGTGGCATGACAGTATGCTCCCCTCCAGCTCCTCATCTCCACAACTGATCCAGACAACCTATGTGGGAGCTGGTTAATCCACTAGGCCCAGCAAGGACCATCCTTGCCAAAACACAGGCTGGCTTCACCCCTGCCTCTCTTCCCTTACGAAAATACTTCCACCTTCTTCCCCTCACATCTCCTACTTCCGTTTTCTTTCTATCCAGGCTTACAGGACTTCTTCCAAGCTGGCATTTTTGCTCTTTGATGGAAGAGCCTCCTGCTGCTTTGCCCTGCAAGGCTTGTTTGAGCTCAAAAAAGAAGCAGGACAAGGGTCTCCACATAATCTCATTAAACATAGTTAGTCCTAGGCCTCTAGATTCCCACATTCCAGGTCTGATTAATGCTAAGATGCAAAGTCTTTCCACACCAAAAGGGAGGAGCTGGTTGGAAGGATGGAAGACAAATCAGCAGGGCAACATGAGAGTCCCTGCTAACAGGCAGCACTGCTGCTCACAAAAGCTCCCTTGTTTGGTTGCCAACCTCTAAGACAAGTTCTGGTGGTTCACAGCACAGGGTTTAATTTACCATGTTAATGCTCTGCAGAAGCCTGATTAGCTAGGACTCTCAGACTGCTGAAGCAGCTCAAAACCTCCCTCAAAGCCCACAGTCCCTGCTAACATGGAGACAGCCAAGGTGTAGCATAGGAGCCTGCATGGAAAGGCAGTCCCAGTCCATCTTGAGACTTCAGGCAAGGGGGTAGTTAACTTTACTTCTGCTAGACTAGGGGACAGGTTTCCTGCAGCTGAATCTATTACGGCAATGGAAGTGCCAACCAGAAGAGATCACAAAGCAATTACCATTTGGATTCCATGGTATTCCCTGGTTTTATCCAGTGACCCTCTAAAGAGCCTGAGGTACTGCTCTATGGCCTCAATGAAAAGACAAGGGGAATGGAAGTGGACCCCTGAACCACCTTGAAGCTGGTGAGATGTTCTCTGTTCAGCCAGCTAAGTTTTGGCAGACACTCACAATATCAGTTACTGCATGGCATGACTGTGCCAACCCTCTCCTTTCACAGGACTCTTAGAAGAAGATGTCTCAGGAACCAGTAGCCTCTCCCCCTCTTCTCTTATAGAGCCATAATCCCAATTAGCTGACATCATATTGTGCACTGGGGTGTGGGCTCTGTACTAGGGTCTGGGAAAATACCAGTGAGAAACAGTCCAGTCCTTTCCTCTCTGAAGGAGAGTGGCAGGTGCAGGATGCCAAGGGGACACACCTTACAAAGACAGTACCTGCTGCAGCTTCCACTGCTTGTCCTCCCGGAAGGCGAAGTGCAGGAGCTGGTTATTTCTGGGCATTTTCATATTAATGTCCTTACAGAAGATACAGACACAGATGAAAGCCAGCCACAAAATACACAACAGGAGACCCTGCAGCTCACATCCCCCTACATAACCCGACGGGGCAACTCCTCCCCCACCACCTCAGAGACCATCACAATACTCTCCCCTCCCTCAACGGTCTATACTGGGCAATGTCAGCTAAGCCAGCCCCAGAGATACAACCTCAGTAGCTGGAGGTAAATGCAAAGTAAATGACAGCTCACTTGCTGAATGCAAGTAAGAGACTGACAGTTCATTTTAGGAGGTGCCCAAGGAAATCTGACAATAGCTATAGGAGAAGTCAGGAGGCAGAGTGACCAGTTAAGCAGAGTTCACTAAGACTCTGATAAGTCCCTGACTACCTAATCCAATGATATGTCACTTGTCCTTCAGAAAAAGTTAACTGGCCCAGGTGAGAATTTTGCCCCACAAGATTAAGCACAAATGAAAGGGCACACAGAGGACAGCAGATGGCAGAGCGTGAGAGAAGTCCAGCCCTAGAATGGCAACACCAGGTAGGACAGACTCTTCCTCTACACTAGTTTCCTATATGCAGAATTCAACCCACTGCACTATTTATCCACAGGGTGTGGCAGTTGCTCCAGGACTGCCTTTACTGGGATGAGTGGCCTTGGCAGCATCTTCAGTCAGTTCCTAACAACAACCAACTGGCACTGAAACCATGATAAAACAAGTTTTGGCTTTGGAAAGTTTCCACTGGCTGGAATATTTAGATGCTGTAAACCAGGCAGTAACCAAACACCACTGTACCAGGTAGCTCAAGAGCTCAACGTCTGGAGGGATAAGGCACAGCAGGGGCAAAAAGGGAAGGTAATTACATCTCCTCGCCCCATCCTGGGGCTACCACATGAATAAGCACTCACCGCTTGACACAGGGCATCTCCCTGCAGTGTCAACACTCCTTTCACCTGGTCAGTGCTGAAATGACAAAAGTCCCAGACAGAAGAGGTCACAGAAGCAGCCAATGCCATCCCATCCCCAGCCAGAACAGGTGACTGACTTTGCCCCTTCTCATGCCCAAACCCTGCACTCAGCTGCATTGAAGTCTTCCCCACACCCAGCTTGGCACAGAGCTCTCCCATGCTCATCTCATCACCTATTAAGTCACCATTTCCAAGCCTCTGTGCAGCTAGGCAGGCTGCCTAAGGGACCCTTCTGATCTACCTGCAACATTAGGGTCCTGTTCTATACCAGTTTCCTCCCCGTTTCAAGTCAAAGCTGTGTCTACTGTTTAAACAGAGTCCTGGCTCTCATTAGCATGGATGAAAGAGACAGGTCAGGTTATAACTTGACACAGACTTGCTTGTTCCTTGTTCTGTGCCAGAGATAGGAGGTTAGTACTGGGTCTCTGATAATCTCTTGCAAAGGACACACCAACTGTTTCAGATCTACAAGAAACAATGAAAGGAGACTGAAGTATCTGGGACTGGATGACTCAGCTCTTTGATCCAGTCTCCTTGAATGTAGATTCAACAATGTTACTAGCCTCTGGGCATCCTACAGAAATCCGTCTCTGCACCAGGACAAACCTCCTGCAGTTCAACCAGAGACAGTCCTTTACATCTGTTGATAGAAAAGAACATCTGGAGGAAAAGAGAGGGTGTGCTCAGGTTTGCCTCCTTGGGTGCCAATATCCCTTGCTCCATGGTTTGAGAACACTACTGAAAGTGGGGTTTTCTTTCTGCTGTGACACCACAGAAACAGAGCTTCAGCAGAGGCTTAGAAATGGGAACTATTGCAGATGTAGTTTGGCAATAACTGCATCTCTCAAGCTGCTAAAATTCCTATTTTTCAGCAGAGGTTAAAGGGCTTGCCCAATACCACAGTGCAAGTTAGCAACACAGCCAAGAACTAGATTCAGGTCTCCCAACTACAAACAGCCAGCTGTCAGTGCAAGACATGAACTGCCCTGCTGGTAGTACAAGCATGGTGAGAACTCTTCTGAACACATACTGTAACAAGTCAGGCAATGGTTAGGAAACCCACCTGGTGTTTTAGACTCAGACAGGAAATGGGAAAGCCCCAGAACAAGTAAAGCCTGCAACATAACCCATTCAGAAATTACTATGACCTGATCTACACAGCGTAACATTTGTAAATAATGTGTCATGAGTATCTGGGATTACTGAAAGAGCCCTTCCAAGCTATGTGGATGTTACTAATGCATATAAGCAGAGGCAACCCAGAAGAGGTCTTTGTTTTAGCAGGCAACCCAAATCAACATTTGGGGATAAAAAGAAGGCAAGAGAGAGGAGAAAGCCAAATGTACAGTCCTTAAAAGGTGATTAAACAGTGATGGGGTGGCTGCTGGAGAACCGCCTATTTGAATATAAAGCTGATGTATACAGTTGGGCTTGCCCCAGTGCAAGAGCGCCTTTTGAAAGGGCTGGGAATCTGTAGCAACAAAGACTTCAGTGATGAAAGCAAGGCTAAATATCTAGGAGCTCCTACTCAGAAGCAGATATTCAGCTTCAGGGTTACCCAAAGCTGCCATTTAGCTGTGGGAATAACAGGCAAGGTGGGACTTGTACCTGGGTAGGGGCATCTTATATTTGCCCTGAATTACTGCTCTTCTAAGAGACTCCTAATCAGATTTCTGCATTAACAAAGCAGATGGAAATGGGGAAGGGAAGAGGCTGCATTATGCAAGTTATTCAAATAAACTGTGAAATTAAGGTAGTCAGCAGCACAGAAGAAATGGCAACACACCAGGCCAGAGACCTGAACCACATTCCTGCACCAGGCAAAGATGCAGCTCATCCCCAGACTGTCACAGCACAAGACCATGTACCAAGGTATGCCAGCCTCCAACTCTGTAGGCCAAGCACCTGATGCATTCAGTACTGGATGTCTTCTGGTATCCCCAGGTGTTAAGTTGGTATAACAGCAGCAGGTCCTGTGTACAATGAGCGAGTTGCCACAATCCTCAACCATTTCCCTCCCCACACAGAGGAATTCTAAGACATGCATGCAGAAAGGAGCACAGGCTGCAGGATCCAGGTTCCTAGGACTCTCTCCAACCTCACTGCTCACTTGTAGTAAGGGGGGCCAAGCATATCCCTCCTTCCTCCCACACCCCAGCACAGAAAGATTGGCTAGAGACAAGAGGAAAGTCCTTGTGGCAGGATACTAGCTCTCACACACTTACCTCGAGGAGCCCAGCATGAAGTTCTCCTGTTTGACTGCTGCTTCTGAGCCACCCACAGACAGGGCAAACCTGTGAGAAGCCTCCTGCAGAACGGCAAAGAAGAGTTGTTACTAGGAGAGTTAAAAACCCCAGTTTCTTCCATTTTCTCTATGGCTTGAGAACAAAGGTGTTGGAAATGTGGACACGCACTGGAGTGGGGGAGGAGCAGGGAGGGGTGAAGCACGTGGTGCTAATAACGTTCTTGAGCTTTTTCCAGTATATCCTTTGTGCACTTCCAGGTACATGCTACACAAAGGACCCTTCCCCAACTATTACTGAAATTGGTGGACTAACTATGCTGCACAAGTGAACAATCAGTCTTTGAACATGATATACCTTCCATTAAGGAAAGCACAATCCTATCCTGGTGTCTTACTGCACTGTGCAGTGAGTACCATGCAGTACTGTGGGCAGGTCTTTTTAAAACCTTCTGACCCACTCCCTCACGTAAGGACTCAAAGATCCTCAACAAAGCTGGCACTTACCATACTTTATTGGAGGAAGAGTAGCTCTGACATTTTAGCCACAGCTGCTGCTTACACAATGAAGATAGATATATGAAATCCACCTTTGCTTGAGACCCTCATGTCCCTGGGAACCAGGCCTGCAGCAGATTCTTAGCAGTTGTCAAGGCTTGAAAAGGGACAGCAGGTACCTCTTGATGGTCCTGTCTCAACAAGTAGCACTAGGATTGAACTGTCCTCATCTCTAGAGGTGGGCCCTCCAGGCCAGAACAGAAACAGCTTTGGGCACTGTTAGCCTCCCAGCCCAGCATCCTCTGCCCACACAGAAAGGACAGCGACTGAGCAGATTAGTTGTGTGTGCGCCTGAAACTGCTTGTTACCTTCAGAATATCCTGCAGCTGCTTCAGGACAGCATGGACTTCTTCTTGCAAAAGCCATTTAAACTCTTCTTCCTACAGCCATGGACAGACAAGACAGGAATTACCTGCGTGAGCCTCCTAAGGTTTCATAGGCTGCTTGGTCTTGCCTTCTTTCACTAGCGCAACACTCCGTATAATCACGTGAATTATTGCAGGCAGGTGAGCACATAACCCACTGACACAGGAGGAAGAGAAAGTAAGTATCTTCCCCCTCTACCTTGCCCATTTCCTGCATATCCTGCCTCAGCTCTGCTGAATGTTACAAACCTGGGCAGTGGAGGAGAGGTTGATGTCATTTACTTGGATTTCAAAAAAGCCTTTGATTTAGTTTCCCTATGATGTCCTCATGACAAAATTGAGGAACTGTGGCCTCGACAACCTTACAGTCCAATGGCTGGGGAACTGGCTCTGTGGTCAGACCCTGAGAGTGATAGTCGATAGAACCGAGTCAATGTGGCGCATGGTGACCAGTGCAGCCCCCCAGAATTCAGTTCTCAGACCAGTACTCTTTAACATATTCATAAGTGACCTGGACTCGGGTGTCAGAAGCAGGCTGGCTAAGTTTGCAGATGACTCCAAATTACTGGGAAGCACAGTCACACTAGAGGATAGGCTGGGGATTCAGGCCAAGTTGGACAGGCTCGCAGTAGGCGTATCAAAACCTGATGACTTTCAGCACAGAGAAATGCAAGGTGCTCCACCTCAGGAGAAACAACCCACATCATACCTATAGGTCTGGTAGCGCTACACTCACTAGCACCATGACTGAAAGAGACTTTCAAGATTGACCACAAGATTAACGTGAGTCACCAATGAGATGCCATAGCCGGCAAAGCAAATACAACCCTGGCTTGCATCTACCGATGCATCTCAAAGCAAGACCCAGGATGTCATCCTCCCACTTTATTTCGCCTTGGAGAGGCTACAGCTACAGTACTGCATCCAATTCTGGGCTCTACACCTTAGGAAGAATGTGGAAAAGCATGAGAGAGTCCAGAAGAGAGCCATGCACATGATCAGAGGTCAAGACAGCAGGCCTTATGAGGAGAGGCTGAGAGACATGGGACTCTTTAGCTTGGAAAAGTGTAGGCTGAGGGGACTTGGCAGCAGTCTATAAGTATATCAGGGATGTACATCAGGATCTGGGAGAACATCTGTTCACCAGGGCACCCCAAGGGAAGACAAGGTCTAACTGTCACAAACTGCTGGAAGACCGTTTTAGATTGGACATAAGGGAAAACTTCTTTACCATCCGAGTCTCCAGAATCTGGAATAGACCCCCCCCCAGAAGTGGTGCAAGCACCTGCTCTGGGCACATTCAAGAAGCTTTTGGATGATTATCTTGCTGGGGTCATCTGACCCCAGCTGACTTCCTGCCCTTTAGCAGGGGGCTGGACCCAATGATCTTACAAGGTCCCTTCCAGCCCTAATGTTTATGAAATCTATGAACAAAGTTTTGATTCACTGCCTTACATGAACAATCAGAGTCACCTAAAACTGGAATCCTGGTCCGCTGGAAATAAGCCGGGGGTTGGTTTGCTATGGTTCTTATGCTTGTTGTTTACCAAACAGCAGCAGCTTAATTAGTAAATGAACCTGAATCAAAGCCAGATGTGGCTTGGGCTGTTTGCACAAATCCAGCAGTAACTAACAAGTTCAGGCCTGATGGCACAGCTCCACAGTTGACCTCAGTCAGGCCTCCGCTCTGGGCAAGCCTGTAATAATAACTGGTGACTGATCATGAAGCTGCAAAGGCAGCATTAACCACAAACACAGACTCTGGTCATAAGATTACTAAAAGGGTGGGAGAGGTGGATGCAAGGAGCTGAGAGGAGTATTTTTGCTCCTGTGGCGAGTAGGAAAGAACTAGCCCTGCTTTCCAGGCTAGAACTATAACATGCAACAAATTGGGTTTTATCATATAAGCAACATGTGAGTTGAGTTGCCTCAGTCATGTGGCTGAGCCTGGAATTGAACCCTGACATCCCAAATCCCAACCCAGTAGCCACACTACTAGATTTGTACTCATGTGCACTAGAAACGTTGGGGAGGATGTGGATTTTATGCAAAGCCCTCTTGCTTGAAAGGAATGCCAATAATTTTAAATAGTGGCTTATGCCAGACATGCCTGTCAAATGAGCCTGCCATACACAACATGCAGATTCCTTTTCCTGATCCTCCTGCTTCAGGTGCCCAGGGCATCCACAAATGTCTGCCATTCATCCTGAGCTGTTCAGGCTCTCAAACATTCCATTAATGGGTAGACAAGGTTCCTTGGGTGAATTTGATATCTTTTATTAGACCAACCTGAATAGTTGGAGAATAGTTATTAAGCAAGCTTTCGGGTTCAAAAACCCTTCGTCAGGCGAAGGAGGTTTCAGCAGTTGGCGTGTGCTCTTCCTGGATGGAATGGTTCTCCACAGCGTTTCACCAGTTATTGTGGAAGCTGCATTCATAAAGCAGCATTGGTGGCATTCGTAAAGCGCAACCTAGATCCCAGCTTCCCTCACTGTCCTTTTTACCACATCCAATGCTCGTTAGAATTTCTGACAGACTCGATGGACCTTCCGCAGGTATTTGTTCTGGAACGGATGCACCTTCTATGCAGTTACTAGTGTGAATGTCTGTGACTCTGTTCCATAAAGTGAGGACAAGATGAGATGTCAGTGCTTGAAATCATGTGTCTGCTTGTGCATGTGTTAGGGCTGATTATGCTATTGTGCTAAATCTTTTCAAGTTTATGGAAAACTATTTGTAGCTTTTGGATGTCTGTTTCCTGACAAGTAGCACAGCAGCATCCTCACAGCACATCTCGCTCCCTACAAAGCCAAAAAGCCTGACTTCTTCCAAAGTTTCTCCATCTATTCAACTGGCTGCTTCTGGGAGCTTAACAGCATTATGCTCCTTTTTGTCTTATTCAGGAAAAACTGGTGCCTCCAGA